AGAGGAACGGATCCTGCCAGTCCGGCACAAGCACCCCACGGAGACAGCTATGGGCACCCCACTGTGCCATGGTGCAGTGACAAGGGAGGTGACCCCAAAACAGGGGCCATCTCCCAGCTTCTGCATTTGGGCAGGGCTGTCCCCACACTGAGCTATGGGGCAGGGACAACCAGGGGCCTCCAGTGGGGAGAGCTGTGCTCCCACTATCTGTGGGGCAGGGATGCCGAGGAGGAATACAGGACAGGGCTGTCCCTGTGTCCCCACACTGCTCTATGGGGCAGCGATCCCGAGGAGGGCAGGGATGCCGAGGAGGAATACAGGACAGGGCTGTCCCTGTGTCCCCACACTGCTCTATGGGGCAGCGATCCCGAGGAGGGCAGGGATGCCGAGGAGGAATACAGGACAGGGCTGTCCCTGTGTCCCCACACTGCTCTATGGGGCAGGGACCTCGGAGAGGGCAGGGATCCGAGGAGGAATAAAGGACAGGGCTGTCCCTATGTCCCTACATCGCTCTATGGGGCAGGGACCTCGGAGAGGGCAGGGAGCCGAGGAGGAATACCGGACAGGGCTGTCCCTATGTCCCTACATCGCTCTATGGGGCAGGGACCTCGGAGAGGGCAGGGAGCCGAGGAGGAATACCGGACAGGGCTGTCCCTATGTCCCTACATCGCTCTATGGGGCAGGGACCTCGGAGAGGGCAGGGAGCCGAGGAGGAATACCGGACAGGGCTGTCCCTATGTCCCTACATCGCTCTATGGGGCAGGGACCTCGGAGAGGGCAGGGAGCCGAGGAGGAATACCGGACAGGGCTGTCCCTATGTCCCTACATCGCTCTATGGGGCAGGGACCTCGGAGAGGGCAGGGAGCCGAGGAGGAATACCGGACAGGGCTGTCCCTATGTCCCTACATCGCTCTATGGGGCAGGGACCTCGGAGAGGGCAGGGAGCCGAGGAGGAATACCGGACAGGGCTGTCCCTATGTCCCTACATCGCTCTATGGGGCAGGGACCTCGGAGAGGGCAGGGAGCCGAGGAGGAATACCGGACAGGGCTGTCCCTATGTCCCTACATCGCTCTATGGGGCAGGGACCTCGGAGAGGGCAGGGAGCCGAGGAGGAATACAGGACAGGGCTGTCCCTATGTCCCTACATCGTTCTATGGGGCAGGGACCCCACGGATGGGGACAGGACAGGGCCGTCTCCATGTCCCCACGGAGGGCAGGGACCCCGCGGCGGGTGCAGGACAAGGCTGAAGCATCCCCCTGATACTCCCTGTGACAG